TTTTTTTTTTTTTTTTTTTTTTTTTTTTTTTTTTTTTTTTTTTTTTTTTTTTTTTTTTTTTTGTAATATTTAGGGGGAAAAAAAATGTTTGGAAGGTGATAGAAAAAGGGGTTTGAGTTGTAAAGTGGATAATGAGATGCCTAATTAATTTTTTTTTTCTAAATATAAACTAATCTTAATTTAACTCTCTATCAAATTTCGGTTTTTTTTAATATTATTTTATAGTTTTATATCAGGTCGAATCATTAATTAAAAATTATAAACGCGTTCAATAATTAAAATTCATAAAGAGGTTCGTCATTAAAATAACCCTTTTTTTTAATTATGTATAAAAATTGAAGAGTCAAAATTAAGAATATAAATAATTAGACATAAAATTATAAACTAAGACATAGCTTAAAAGGTAAATTTGTGTTGGATCTTCAATGTGCTAAAACTTATATTATATTTGTTATATTTCAAAGATGTATTTAAACTTTTTTTTTTAATTTTAAATATACTTTTTGAACTTTGTTTAAATAATAATTGTTTTTGAAATTTTTTTTGTCCACAAGTGTTTAGGATCATAATTGTGCTCTTACTTTAAAGCCTTTTTATGCCACCAAAAAAATAAGAATAATATATTCTTTTAGATTTGAAATATTTCATGCATTAATCAGGTAAGGGACCCTACGAGGACGTTGTGGCTCAAGGATAAAAGTGTGGAAGCCTCTCTATAAAAAATGTGTTTTAAAATTATGAGATTGAAAGTGATATAATAGAAAAAAATAGACATGTTATAAAATTTTTCTCTTTCTAATGTTTCTTTTGCTTGATCAATGGAATATACTACAAAATTATTTGAGGGATTTCATAATTTGTAAACTATTTTAATTAATTACTAATTTAGTTTTGAACTTGACTTGTTTTTTATTTATACTTTTTTATTCTAAAAATTTAAGTTTTATTTATTTTATAATTTTTTTTTTTTTTTAATCTTTAGAATTTATCCAAGAATCCAAATGTCTGCGTATGAATTTTTTTTAATTTATCCAAAAATCCAAATGTCTGCATATGAAAAATGAAACCCTATCATTTTATGAGAAAATAAGTACCATTTTCCAAATGATTATTAAATGGTGTTTAAAATTTATATAATTAATCACAAAATTCAAACTTGAAAATTTTATAAGATATAAAATTAATTTTTTTTTTTTAAAAAAAATGGATTTATTAGACACTTTTGAACAGTATAAGAATAAATTATAATTAAAATTTTCTTTTTTGAATTAAATCATATTTAGAGTACGTCGGTTCGGACCTCTAATTTTCTCGATGAAAATATATATTTTTAAATAGTCTATTTTTAAAGGTTAATGAAAAAAAAAAAAATCATAATCTTAATTCTGAACTTCGAAATTTGAGAAGCTTTTCTCAATAAATGTCATCATTGACCATTAGTGGGACAAAACAACCAAAAATTGGGGGATTAGCAGTGGGTTTTGATTGGGTGTACAAAATTTAAAATAAAAAGGGGACACCAAACAAAAACATTGTTAATTTGTGAACAATGCTCCCTATTTTAGGGGATTTTTTAAAATAAAAAATTAGCCTTTTGACAATAATAATAATAATAATAATAATAATAATAAAAAAGGTTGTTTTGGAGATTAGCTTACTAGCTTTTGTCGTTTTGAAGGATACATGAAGCAAATATTTCAAGCCCCAATAAAGTGCAAAATTCACTATTTAATTTTTTTAATAATAGTTTTTTATGAAAATATTTAAATACTAACCATTATATATACATATATATAAATATATAAAATAGGATTTATAATTATAATTTAAAAATGTGTATCTAAAATGGGCAGTGTCCCCTTTTTTTTCCCTAAACTAGCTTAAATTTTAAAATTAGGGGAAGATAGCAAAAAAAAAAAAAAAAAAAAAAAAAAAAA